ATTCTTTTTCATGTCTCCTATTGTTTTCGGTTGATAGTCATGTTGTTCTTCCGTACCTACTAACTTAGTAGACTGTTCCCCTTGCTTTAAATCATTTTTACTACAGTCCATTTTTAGATGGAAAAATCTTTTGAATTGTTCTTCACAATTGGGATTTTGTTCAAATGTTGAGTTTTTTGTTTTTTTGTTTCGCTATTATTCTATCTACAATTGAACTAAAGGGAATAACTAGATATGTAATAAATCAGAAGTTATCGAAAGAGGATAATAAAGAATGGGAAAAAAAACGGGAAGGAAAAAACAAACAAAGTATTATTTTGGACTTAAATGAAGTGGTGAGTCTGTAGTATTAGTGTTGGATGGTATTTGAGGTGAATCTAAATCGATCGTAATTGGTGCAGGTATACTAAGGTCAATTGTTCTTGGTGTCAGTGTACGTAGATCGATCGTACCAGGTGTTGATGGTGATAGATCAACTATTTCGACCAAGTTTCCTTTTGCTATTGTTGGTAAAGGTTGATCGACCCGTTCATGTTCATGTTCAGTCATTATCTCCGCCAACTCACGAAGGATGGCGTATGAATTTCAATGTAATAGATAACATAATAGTAGTAAAAAACTAAGAGAGTTAGTATGAGAGTGATAGGAGTAGAAATCAAAGAATTGAGAAGAATTATCTAAAAACAGAAAGAATTTCATCTCGAGACATTGGAAAATTCTTTACAATGGTGATTTCAAGGTTTGCATCTTAGGGTGTGGGTGTGGGTGTGTAGAAAGCTACCATGACGCGTTTCGACTCTGCTTAGGAGTCTCCTTCCTCTGATTGGCTACCAAAGTAATCGTATTGGAAAAACATATCTCGAAGTAAATGAAGAAGATTTTGTTTTATAAAATCATATGAATGGTTACTCGTATAGGTGATTATTAAGATTTTAGTAGTTTTTATTGAGAGATCTACAAAGCTATTTTTCTGATACAGCGGAAATGTCACATTATACACTTTAGACATGTACAACATAAAGAAACGGTGAGGAATAACATTTGAGGATCCATTTTGGAATGTTGATGTCAAACTTCTGCTATCTAAATGAAAACAAAACATTGATGGTTAAGAAGAATTTTTGAAAGGATTCATTTTTCTTTCTTACTAATGGTTGTTTGTCTTCTTTTTTTTGTTTGAATATAGCAGGATCTTTATCTAATTTGCATGGTTTGCCTTTTCGTTTAGCACATAAATCTACAAGCCACCCCAAGGTGATTGCGACAAGGAAGATGACTAAGCACCACCAAATACAGTAAATATATTGTAGATTGTCCTTTAGAAAGCTGAAAATCTTGTCAAGGGTGCCTTTCATTATAGTTGTTGTAGTATATTCTAATTGATTTGTTTTATTGTAGTTGATTGAAGAGCGATAGATGTACTAAATCATAAAATATATCGTAATGTAATAAAACTATACATGATATTTTATGGCTTCACTGTTGATATCTTACATTGGGGGAATATTTTAGTTGTGGAAAGCAGTTACCGAATATCATAATATGGATCGTCAGTCGATGGTCAATAGATATCTGAAATGAAAACAAAAGAAAAGAACATGTCTAAGAGATAAATCTATTCTTTTCTTTTCCATCACCATTAAACATGTCTTTATATGAGAGAGAGTGTTACATCAAAATGAAAGCTGAACGAACATCCATAATGAAAAGGAGAAGGAATAAGTAAATGATCTCATCATAATTTTACAAGTAGTCAATAGATTTGTGGCGAAATAGAAGATATTTGACATGAAATGGAAAAAAAAATTAATTAAAATTTTAAGATATTTTTACTAAATATTAAATATATTTTATATGGATAAATGTAGTTCACTTTTTGTTTGATGAAATTCGGTATATGTTGTTCAGTGAAATTTAATAACAGAGGAAATGAAACCTTGACGAATAGGAAACGAAGACTGATCTTGTTATAAATAGATCCATTTCATGACTAAATATTGTTTATTATTCAGGCATGAAGATTTTACTTGAATCAGTAAAGATGGGTAGCATGTCATGTTTATATCATTCAATCGTAATTTTTTTTTTCTATGTTATTCCATAAATTGCTAGCATGATTTCTATTAGCATGAACAGTTTGTATATAGACTATGAACTTTGTGACAAATTGGATGTTTGACAATTTCTTGGCTATTTGATAGTAATATGTTATGATTTGGGACGAGTGTATCATGTGGTTATTCAGTTAAGCACGCAATTTATTTAGTGTACTTCAAGAATATTCCAAATCTACAATAGAAGAGTATATGATTATGATAATAGAAAATATAAACATCTATTTTTGCGTTATTTTATACTTGACTATTTCACATATACAGTCACATACACACACTACAAACACTAGAGAGTAACTATAATCTACCGGATAATTAGCATTGTTTTGTATATTGAATAAATATTAATTTCTAACAGTGAATAATATGTCACTATCATAAATCATTGAATTGATGTTGTGGTTCACATTGATGAATGATTCAAATTAGCACACCAAATGAGATCATATGGACGACCACAGCGTTGTTCAGCATTACCACCAATCGGACAAATCATATTCAATTTAGTTTCAGCATGTATAATGAATAATGTTTCAATAATGTATCGTAATATAATCGAACGATCATCTGGTACTACATCGACCGAAAACAAAAAAAAAACAAAGAAGTACAATAATGATGATTGAGATCAAGATACATTGTTTACTTACAAACGGCAATGATCGCCATTCTATACAAGTCTATTTTAACATAAGGCAACTGTTGAATGGGCGAGGCGACCATTTGTTCGAAAAATGAATGATGTTGTTGCAGTTGTCCATCTGAGAAGACATAGGCAGCTGGTGGTGATGGCACACGAATGCAATACTGAATCACTCTAGGATTGTTTACGACAGCATTCGCTATCACAGGGACCGATACTGAATTTGTATCAGAAGTTCCTTGCAAATCAACAGTATTTTCTGTTGCTTGTTCATCACAAGATAGAGGAATAAAACACCAATAACTTGGATTACAATCGAGAAATAAACGAAGTGCTATTGGACATCGAGATGAATGTTGATAGAGACGCATTTTACTAGTTTTTTCTCTTCTAAAAATTTAAATAAATAGAGTTAAATCAAATTTTGTATCGATATACTTTTTTCATTACTCTAATTCGAAAGAATTGCTTGTCATATATGGAAATAGTGAACTACCAGTTAATAGTTTATGTATAATTCGATTGCCATGTTTTCGACGATCTATATTCATATATATGAAAAAAAAAAACAAAACGAAATATTCA